TTTATAATTTTGAAACCACAATTTTTGCCATTTCTCTAGATCAATCCCATATCCAAAATTCTTCCCGCAAGCAATCATTGTTTCTTTAACATTTGTTCCTTTTTATATATTATAGGATAAGAAAATGCTTCAATAGTCAATAGCCAGACTGGAATTTTCAAATAGCATTGTCTTTTAGTCTTCTCCCAGTTTAACCACAGAGACTCCCGTATATAATGTCTTCTAAAATACCCCTGTGTTTTAGTTCCTTTATACCATAGAAAAGCATGCCACCCCAACAACAGATCATGTCCTTCTAATGTCAACAATCTAGTATTTCTTAATGTTATCCATTCCTTAACCCACATCAAATTTGCAGCTTGGTAATACAACTCCCAATTAGGCAAACCAAATCCTCCTCTTATTCTGGCATCTTGCAAAAGTTTTAACTTTGTTCTCGCTTTCTTACCTTGCCATATATATTTCAACACAATTTTATTTAAATCTTCAAAATAATCTTTTCCAAGCCTAACAGGAATTGTTTGGAACAAATATAAAATTCTGGGTAATATATTCATCTTGATTGTTGATATTCTTCCTATTAATGACAGTTGTAAATTTTCCCATTTCGCCAAATCTAACACTATCTGCTGCTTAAGTTTGATATAATTATTCTCTTTTAGTGTACTGCATCTTGCTGTCAAATGTATCCCCAAGTACTTAATCTTATTCGTGACCTGAATTTTCAATAGATCTGCCAGTTCTTCCTTTTGTCTTGATAGCATATTCTTTGTCAAGATCTTTGTCTTAACTTTGTTTATTTTCAAACCAGCCACTTTTCCATATGCCTCTATCTTTTCTATCAATTTTGATGCTGTTTCTAGTGGGTCTTCTAAAATGAAAACCAGATCATCTGCAAATGCTTGCAACTTAAATTCTTCCTGTTTAATTTTCATCCCTTTTATATCCTTTTCTTCTCTAATATTTCTGTTTAGCACTTCCAAGGTTAACACAAACAACAGAGGTGATAGTGGGCACCCTTATCTTGTTCCTTTTCTTATATCAATAGAGTCTGTCAGTTCTCCCTCTATCATTACCTTTGCTGTTTCTCCCCTTTTTGAAGTGTGTCTCATTGTGTCTCTTTTCCAGGCTTCTGGTAGTTCTGTGATACTTTGGGATCTTTGAAAGAGATGGTTTAATAGTTCTGAGATCATGCTACTAGTTCAGAACCCTGGGATGTAATCAATCTAGACCTGGTTATTTGAAGTCTTGTAGTATGAATAGTAGCAGTGAGTACTAGCCTGTGGATCAGTGGACTAATGGTGAGCATTGCGTGCTAGCTTGAGAGTGCTTGTAGGACATGTTGTTTTGTTGGTTCTATTGTGTTTTGGAGCTCCCTGACTTCAGTATATTTTAACGAACCTGTGACAAAGTGATGGTGCAACATCCAAAAGGTGGGGTGTCTATAAGAAGATAAAGTATCCAATACAAGATGGCAGCCACACATGTGAAGTGGGCTTAAATTTGGGGAGTTCATTAAACACTCCATGAAAAGAAAACAAGCTTTGGCTTCAAAAGGTGCTGCAAAATGAAGGAGGTAGAATGCAAGGCTCAGTTTCTGCAGGAATTGGTTATAGAAACCAGACTTCTTACCAGAGCCTACACCAAACTAATAGACATGGAGAAGGCAGAAAATACAGATTTTCTCTTAAAAGAATTACTACTTTGGTAGAGACAAGTATCCACCTAAGGCCTGTGGTTAAACTAAAATAGAAATGGGGATAGGCCCAGATATTTAAGCCAATATCATTACAGAGATGTTAAAGTATCAGCAAGATGAAAGGCTTTGATTAATTAAGAGGAAGAAGAGCAGAAGGAAACAGAAAGTAAAGATAAGCTAGAATGAGAAAGGAGTGAAAGAGAGGCAGGAAAATAAGAGTTAAGTGGGTTGATAGACTTACATAAAGTGGTACAGTCACCAGAAGGGGCACATTCAACTCAAAATTTTCAGAATATGTAGAGTGTGGAGATGATACCAAGGACATAAATATTCCCAAGAATTTTAAGAATTTATGGTAATCTTCCATCAAGAGAAGTAGTGGATTGTTCTCCCAAAGATGCTTTCTTCAAGAAGCAACTGAACTTTTTAGTTTTTCTTTGAAGACGTTTCACTTCTCATCCAAGAAGTTTCTTCAGCTCTGAATGGATGGTGGAGGAATGGAAGGATTTATACTCCTTGCAGATACTTGGTCATTTGCATTCTTTTAGTGGCTTGTTAAAGTCACCTGGAGGTTTATCTATGTCATCAAGGTCACCTGAGTGGTGCAAATTGGTGTAGAAGCCTTCTTGGAACTGTTGAAAGGACTGTGCTGTAGATTGGATATAGATGATGTCCCTCCCCCTTAGTTAAGAGAGGGCTATTCAGTTTTGACACTGATGGCCTCTTTAACCCCTCTTTCAAACTAGTGATGCTCTTTGTCCAAAATATGGACTTCGTTGTCTTCAAAGGAGTGGCCTGTGGATTTTAAATGCAGATGGTCTGCTAAATCTATTCCTGATGTGTTTGTTCTTCTGTGTTGTGCCATGCCTTCATGAAGTGGTTGTTTCGTTTCTCTAATGTACAGATCTGCACATGGCTCACTGCATTGTACTGGATATACCATGTCGCTCAGTTTCTGTCTGGGTATTTTATCCTTGGGGTGGATAAGCTTCTACCTTAGTGTATTTTTGGGTTTGTTATGTTGGCTGAAGATCCTCCTGAGCTTTTCCAGTATGCCTGCAATGTACGGCATGACAATGTTTTGTTTATTGTTTTCCTTGATGTGTTTATGTTTTCTCAACACCCCCCTCCCCCATTTTTGCTGGTAGGCAGGCCTTCAGCTCGGTGATGTAAGGTTCTGATGACTCCCATTTTGTGCTCCAGTGGGTGGTAGGAATCAAAATGTAAATATTGATTTGTGTCACCTGAGTGGTGATAAACTTCAGTGTTAAGGCTTCTGTCATCCTTGATATTTACTGCACTGTCCAGGAAAGCTAAACGATTTTCCTTAACATCTTCCTGTGTGAATTTGATGTATCTGTCCACAGAGTTGATATGTTTGGTGAATGTTTCCAATTCCTGTGTTTTGATCTTGACCCAAGTATCGTCCACATACCTATACCAGTAAATAGATGAAATTCCTGTCTAGGGCTTTGGTTTCTACCTTTTCCATGTAGAGATTGGCTACAATGGGGGACACCGGTAAACCCACGACACAGCCCTGTTTTTGTCTTTAGAAGCCTTCATTGTATTTAAAATAGGTAGTGGTTATCATCTATCTCCAATCTACAACACAGACCTTTCAACAGTTCCAAGAAGGCTCCACACCAATTTGCACCATTCAGATGAGCCTGATGACACAGATAAACCTCCAGATGACCTTAACAATCTGCTAAAAGAGTGGAAATGATCAGATGTCTTCAAGGAGTATAAAGCCTTCTATTCCCCCACCATCCAGTCAGAGCTGAAGAAGCTTCTTGGATGAGAAGTGAAATGTCTTCAAAGAAAAACCAGAAAGTCCAGTTGCCTCTAGAAAAAAGCATATTTGGGACAACCATGATCTGGATGACTGAGAATCTCCATAGACATTTAGTGGATTCTTCCCATATGAAAGAGATAATTCTATTGAGATATAATTAAGTGAAAGCAGTAAACTAAAAGATGGCATTGGGAAGATCTGCAGTTGTTAATAGCTGTAGGAAATCTGGACAATAGAGTGTGATACTTATTTTTCTGCCTAATATTACAAGTTTAAAATATTGGTCCTCAGTTGCTAGGTTTGGAATCTTAGGACAGAGCAAGAAAGATAACTTTTCAAAATATTATTGAAAAGATCTACAATATTTGTTATATATTATTTACAAAAATATAAATGCTAAGTCATGAATATAAAGAAATAAAAAATTAGTAAAGATTAAGGTTTCCCCTGTCCAGTCGTGTCCAGCTTTAGGGGATGCCATTCATTTCTGTTTCTTAGTTGAGAGACCATGTTGTTAGTTGTGAAGTTGTGTCTGACCCATCACAACCCCATGGACGACGTTCCTCCAGGCTTCCTGTCCTTTACCATCCCCCAGAGTCCATTTAAGCTCACACTGACTGCTTCAGTGACTCCATCCAGCCACCTCATTCTCTGACATCCCATTCTTCTTTTGCACTCAATCGTTCCCAGCATTAGGCTCTTCTCCAGTGAGTCCTTCCTTTCATTAGGTGTCCAAAGTATTTGAGTTTCATCTTCAGGATCTGTCCTTCTAAAGAGCAGTCAGGGTTGATCTCCTCTAGGACTGATTGGTTTGGTCACCTTGCAGTCCAAGGGTCTTCTCCTGCACCATACTTCAAAGGCCTCAATTCTTTGGTGCTCAATCTTTCTAATGGTCCAGCTTGCACAGCCATACATTGCAACTGGGAAAACCATAGCCTTGATTATACACACTTTTGTTGGCAGGGTGATGTCTCTGCTTTTTAATATGCTGTCTAGATTTGCCATAGCTTTGTCCAAAGATACTTCCGTGGTCGTTTGGCCAGCATACTGAGGTGCATAGAACCCTGTTATTTTCCCACTGCAGTGGTACCTAAATATATACACCCATTTGCATGGTTTTGAACTGTTATGTGGGCAGGAATAGGGGAAAATAATGGAGATAACCCTGCTGTGGGGCACTTGGGTCTTGAACCTGGTCTATCAGCTTTCTAGCTGATAAGCTCAGCAACTTGAAGTGGATAATACAAGTGATATACATTAAGCTCTCTATGCTGATTTCATCCCTTTCCAGCCTTATTATAGCTCTTGTAAAAGTTCAGGATAAGTGTATAAAGATAATAAGTTAAAGTTGATTTGATGGAATTTATGAGTTAGTCTCTGTGTTTTAAGGGCCAATAAGTTAACATGTCTTTTGAAAGATAAACATGGCTGGGATTTTTTTCAATGCCTGCTTTTTTCCTGCTTTTTGAAGGAAATCTTACCGATGTGTTTGTTAATGCAGATATTTGTGTGAAAAGGACTGAAGTAATGAGAAGTCATCATGGAAGCTCAATCCCATAGCTCTGCCACAAGTGAGAAGAAAAAGGTTGAGAATCCCATAGTAAAATACCCCACTCGAACAGAGGTCAGTGAGAAAGCCGCGGCCTCCAGCACAACATCTAATGGTAAGTAACAGTAGAGATTTTCTAGCTGCATTACATGTGAATTGAGTTATTTGCACTTGGATTCAGTTCTTGCTTTCAAATAAAACTAAAGTTAATAAGCAAGAATTTTAGGGATTGGACTGATGAGGGGGGAGGAATGGGAAAACCGTTTTACTAGAATGAGACCTATTTTGGCATCAGATTTTAGGTTTTTTTTCCAAAACCAGTTTGAGTGATTAATAGTAATATTTATTATGGAAAATTCCTGTTGTGGTACTTTGGAAAATAATCATAGTGGGAAAGAATATAAAATACTTGATATTTTACTATGGAAATTACTTACCCTGATTAGATAATTGTTTAATATAAAAGAGACAACAGAAGCCCTGTCAAAAATTAATAAGGTTTTCATCTTCCTTGAAACACCCCCCCCCCCAAATAATAATAATTCTCATCTATTATAAATATCCTCTCCACCAAATCTGCATGTCTTGGATTGCTTTAATTGCAGAAGACAAAACAATTATGTTTCAAAGAAAACATGTTTAGTTTTAGAAATGTGAATATGTAATTTACAGAAATTGCTTTGGACCACTTTTACAGTACTGTAAGGTAAACCCCAGACAGAATGATTAATAGAAGTGATTATGGGATCTACGGTGTAGAATATCAGAAAGTGCTAGATTCCTAACCTTGATTTCCTTCTTTCTGCTTGAATTTCCTTCATAATCTATCAACTGATGAGTTTGTTTTTTAAAATTATTTTTTCTTTTTCTTCTTAATTGGTCTTCTTGCTTTATAATAACCAGCATAAAATGACATGGGAAAATTAATTCAAATCCAAGTTTCTCCCCCACCCCCCCAAAGGAAGGGTTATTTTATCCATTGTATCAAATGGATTAAATTCATTTAAACTATGTATTGTCTAAATGGGTCCTAATGGTTATAGGAACTTGGAAATATTGTGGAATGTTATTGAAGGTTTTTAGAGCCAATATTTTTATTTTTTTATTTGTTTGTTTGTCAAATATGTACAAGATAACAAGTACAGGTATGAACATAAACATGAACAAAGGAAGTAAATATAGATAAATGGGGACAGTAGGGGGGACAGTAGGAATGCTGGTGGACTTACGCACGCCCCCTTTAAGGATGTCTTAAGAATGGTTTAATTTTTAATATCTAGCTTTTAGCTCTGCCTTGGGAACTACTGCTTAGGAAGACCTTACTTCAGTTTTGGAAAAGAAAAGTTCTTATCTTTTGTGGCCCTAGGACCGTGATGGTGAACCTATGGCATGCATGCCAGAAGTGGCACATAGAGCCATTTCTGCCGGCACACAAGAAGTCGCCCGGAAGAGCCTTAGTGCGCATGCACATGTGCGCCACCACCTGACAGCTGATTGTCGAGTATCTGGCATGCAGGGTGCAGGGGTGCAGGACACGCACGCACACGCAGAGATGCATGGCACGTGGAGGGTCGCATGCACATGTGATCTTGCCTTGGTAAAACTGCCATCAGTTCTTCTTGCTATGTGACCAGCTCATTTCCATTCAATTCTTTTACTCTCTTGATGATACCATATACTTTCGTTTGTTCTCTAATTCATGTGCAGATCTTTCTATCTTGTCCTGTAATACCAAGTAGGTATCTTTCAATGGCTCTTTGCACCACTCTTAACTTTTTTATTGATTGTGGCATTAGTGTTCGTGTTTCACTGGCATATATTAGAACAGGTAGCACACAATGATTGAAAACTTTTCGTCAGGTGTAATGGGAGGTTATTCTTGAAAATTATGCTAAGCTTGCTGAATGTCTACCAACCACATTCTCAACACGCCATTCAATTTCCTTTATTGTGTATAATAATTTCCTTTATTGTGTATTGTGTATTATTGTGTACATCTTTCTTGTGTATAAGAATCACTTTAGCCTTTTTCCATGCATCAGGTATTTTTTCTTCTCTTAGGTATCACGAGTATAGTTTTGCTAGGATCTTATGTAAACTGTGACTACCAGCTTTCAGTATTTCAACTGTAACAGTTATTTCCTGGCGATTTGCCATTTTTCATTGATTTTGATACTTCTTCCATTAGGATATCTGGCATTTCCTCTTTCATGGGTTTTGTTACTTTTGTGTGATCTTGATCTTTGTATAACTCTGAATGTACTTTTTCAATTATTTCTAACATTTCCTGTCTTGTTCTACAAATAGAGCCATCTTCATGTTTTAATCCAAAAACCTTTCTTGTATTTATAATCTTACATTTTGCTCTTTTAATCCCTTTGTTTTATTCAATTGCCATTTTCAAAAGTTCATGTTAAAATGACACATTTCTTCTTGGATACATTTTCTTATGGTCTTACAAAGTTCAATGTAGCTTATTACTAAAACGTCCAGTTTATTAGTGAAATGTCCAGTATTCTTCATTGTCTGTCATTTTTTTCAGAGGAATTGTAAGTTCATCAGAGATTTTTGACTGTACACAGTGTTTTTCCGGCAATGGTATAGATGTAACAGATTCAAGGATGTTTTTGATGATTTGTTCATTTTGGTCTGTAATATTTCTTTCAAATTTTGTAATAGAGTAATTTGTATCAGCATTTTTCTTTGACTTAAAGGCAGGCCGCATTGTTGTAAAACTCGTCAACCTCATCATCACTATAGCTTATTGCTTGTGCGTAAGTTTGGATGATTTGAATATAAAATATATTTTATTATTTATTTGTTACACTTATATGCTGCTTATTGCATTGTTGAAAAAACTCTGAGCTGATTATATAGCACTTAAATATTGAAACTAACAAAAATAAATTATTAGTGAAGGTATATGTGTGTGTTGTGTGTGTATTATATATTTATTATGCAATATATGTGTTTATTTTTTGAGTTTTTTGTTTGAATTGACATGTTAGTTTCAATTCTGGCCAATGGCCATAACACAGGGCCCTGTGCAAGTGAGGAATAAACACAGATGTCATATATTACTCAAGAAAATTCAATTTGTTTCCATAGATTTCTTACCTCTTACTTTATATAAAGTAAGGAGATTGTTGGAAGAAGATTGTTAAGTTTGATAATTTCTTGATGCGCCTTACTTTTATAGTGGCATAATTGTAAAGCATAGATGGTATTAAGGGAATTATGGTTTATACTTAATTAAAGTTTGGCCATTTCTGCATTTGTTTACCTAGCAGCTTCTGTTTCTTTTCATATCTTCATGATATTTTCTTCATCTCATTCTTATGAGGAAGATTTAAGACAATGTTAGTTAAATAGTAACAGCTTTAATATGTTGGAGCAACATGCTGTAAAGGACTATAGAATGGTATATATATTTCTCTCCCACATCCTCCATGGGATCTTTCTCATTTCTTTTTCTTGCAAACATTTGCTGTTGCCTTTTCACTTTTACCTCACAACAACAACAACAACAACAAGAATAAAATCTTGCAACTTACTGTTTCTTTGTACGAAAGGGAATCTCTCTGAGGGGGGTCAACAAAGAGGCATTCACAGGTTTCAGGATAACTTCACCTTATCACTCCTTATGAACCTCGGGGCATCTCACACATACACTCATGTTTGTACTGCAATCAGACTTTTTGTGTAAACCAATGTCACATACAAAACTTTCATTTCATGCTTTTTCCATGCAAACCAATCATTACTATTATTTCAGGGAACTTTTTCACAAGCCAATGAGCTCCATTTTCTAAATAACTTTGTGTATTATTATTAGAGGGTCTCTAATAATCCCTGCAGATTTGGAAATGATTACACACAGACACATACACACACATGCCATTAAACAACATTTCCAGACCTGGGAGGTTTTGTCCCTTTAAATTTCTATCTTTTCTTTCCTTAGGCAACCTGTAGCTCATTCTTGAAGCAGTGGGAAAAGTCAGTAATTTCAATCATAATTGTCATTGTGCGCCCTAACCATTTCCTGTTTCCCACAGCTTCAAGCCCAAGCTGAGAAATTTACTCAATTTACCAGCTGGCCAAACATATCACAATCAATTCAATCCCATTCAATTCTACATGCTGTTATTTTAGATGCATATCCAAGAATTTTTAACAGAAATAACATCAAATTGATCAAGTCAAATTATCTAAGTCTTCCCATGTAAACAAGCTTTACTCTTTTATTTACTCTTTACTCTTTTATTATCTGCTGAACGTTTTTCTTCTTTACTTTTAGTTCTTTCAGAGTTTTATGGCTGTTTTGAGTATAGTAAATTCTAACACTGCAGTATTTCTTTTCTTCTATTCCTGGGTCTTTCTACCACACATGACAGCATAAATTAACCATATCTTCTTTAGTCAGCCCTAGCTTCTGAACTACCAGTATGGTTGCCCATTTTATCTTAAAGGGATTTCTCAGACTTTTCGTGGGCTTGAAGTCTGCCCAAACTCTCCCTTTTTCCCCTAAGGGATTTTTCAGACCTGTCAGCTTGAATCCTCCCTTTTATTTTCTTCAATGTGGTGGAGATAGCATTCAGGATTGGGTAATCAGTCACCGCTTGCTGATTGGACTGAGTCTGTCAAATCTTTGAGGACACTTCCCCAGTTGCTAGGGACATCCCAGAAATTGACTCAATCAGCTAGCTGGATGATGTGTTCATTTCTGCTCCTAAAAGAACCAAATTTAAATCAGTTCAACTGGAAAACTAGAAAAAAAAATCACCAATCCTGAATACTATCTCATCTGAGGACTGGTCTACTTGTTCGACAGCTGTCAAAGACAACGTGGTTGGGGCTTTGGCCCAGATGGTCAGACAGCGGATTGGCTGAGGGCCAATTTACACCATATAGAAGTATTGTAGCAGGAGGTGTGTAGAAATATCCACACCATATCCCCATGCTTTTGGCTTGGGAGGGCTCTCAGTGGCGTCAAATGGCTGCCACAGAAGCCTTTTTACCGCAGCAGCATTAACAGGGCAGAAGACAGCAGGGAAGGTAGAAAATCCCTTTGCAGACTAACAAGCAAGGTAGTTGTAGTAGTGTTTGCTAGCG